GGCATTCCCTAGAATCCCAGGAAGCCTGTTCCACACAGGCCATTCTCCTAAGAATCCCAAGAAGCCTGTTCCCACACACGGCAATCTCCTAGAATCACCAGCGGTCCTGTTCCACACAGGGCATCTCCTAGAATCCCAGCGGCCTGTTCCCACCACACGGCATTCTCCTAGAATCCCAGGCCTGTTCCCACCACACGGCATTCTCCTAGAATCCCAGCGGCCTGTTCCCACCACACGGCATTCTCCTAGAATCCCAGGCCTGTTCCCACCACAGGGCATTCTCCTAGAATCCCAGCGGCCTGTTCCCACCACACGGCATTCTCCTAGAATCCCAGCGGCCTGTTCCCACCACACGGCATTCTCCTAGAATCCCAGCGGCCTGTTCCCACCACACGGCATTCTCCTAGAATCCCAGCGGCCTGTTCCCACCATAGGGCATTCTAGAATCCCAGGCCTGTTCCCACCACACGGCATTCTCCTAGAATCCCAGCGGCCTGTTCCCACCACACGGCATTCTCCTAGAATCCCAGCGGCCTGTTCCCACCATAGGGCATTCTCCTAGAATCCCAGCGACCTGTTCCCACCACACGGCATTCTCCTAATGCGCCCCGGCTTCGGAGCCTTGGGGCACGCAGGCCCCCAGCACACACGGAAAGTGTCGGCTTCCAGCGGTCGAGGGCAGACAGGTCAACAACACAGCGGGGGTTTGAGTGGCTTTTATTTAATATCCAGAAACCCAAAGTAAACAGTGCTTGAAACGGTTATAAACACAATAAAACACTGGCCCACAGAGGGGAGGGGGAAGGATCCCGTTGCTTTAGAACAGCACAGCTCTCTGTCACATCCAATTGAAACGCGGGGCAGGCGCTGGGCTGGCGCTTGCATAATCCCTGTGGTTGTTAAAGGGGAAACGGAGCCTCAGGCAGGCGCCCGAGGCCAGAGGGTGGGGGGAGGGACAAAGGGCATCCCCTGGGCCTGGAGAGCCGGCCTGGCACTCACTGGGTTCCTGTGCTGAGAGCCCCTCGATGGAGAAACGCCGCTCCCTGGGCATGTGCAACCCCGAAGACGCCCAGCTTCCCTGACCTGAACTCACGCCCGGACAACTACATCCCCAAGCCAACGAGACGATGATGGGTTGATCACACGAAGGACTCATTCCCCAAGCAGAGCTCACCCTTCTTATTTTGACTGATTTTTAGGGAGAGAGGGAGAGGGAGAGGGAGAGAAACATCAATGTGAGAACAACACACCCATCAGCTGCCTCCTGCACGCCCCCTACTGGGGACTGAACCCTGATGGGGAACCAAACCTGGGACCTTTGGGTGCACGGGACGATGCCCGAACAACCGAGCCACAGGGGCCAGGGCCACCGACTTCTGCCTGGGACGGGCCCCCAGTGCACCCGTCCAGGCCACGCTGTGAGTTTGGACTCACACTGGAAAGTGGAACAAGGAAAAATGACACGGTGCAGCCGAAGGGGGGCCTTGGCAGGCGTGAGGCACTCCCACACCTTTGAACCAACTCGGAAAACTAATTCGGTGAAATATCACACCCTCCCGGGAACCATGGGCTCAGTCAGCGCTGCGAGGCGATCGCCGGGGAGTCCGTTCCCCATCTCACTGTTCCTTTCCCTCTCCCACCAGCCTCCACGTGGCCGAGGAACCCGCAGAGCTGCCCACCGGGCAGGCCGCCCAAGGCTGCCTCCTCCCCGCATGGCCCCAGGGACGGGTGAGCACGCCAGGTGGGTGGGCCTCCCGCCCCAGGGGCTGTGATGAAGGCGGCACTGACTGTCCCAGCTCAGCCACGTGCCAGTACCGCCCTGCCATGCCATGCACCCCGCCGGAGACCACCTAATGCCATCTTACTTATTCCTTTCCCCCCTGGCAGCCACCTCCATCAACAGGCCCTGAGCCCACCCAGCCTGCATGCGGCCGGCCGAGATGGGATGCTGCCCCCTTTCCCAAATCTCCAGCAGCGACAGCCCACTGAACAGCAGCCACGTTCTCCACAGCCTGTCTCCTGCAGAAGGCGAACCCCGAAGAGAAACGGGGGAGGAGGCTGATTGCAGGGGCCGCCCCGGGGTTCGCACGCACATCATAAACCCAGGCTGGGGCGCTGGGGCCGAGTTTGGGGGCTGAGCCCCAGCACACAGCCACCGGAGCCCCAGCGGAGCCTCCCCATCTCTCCCCTGTGCCACGGTGAGCAAGGGGGTGAGCAGCACAGAGGCGAGTGAGCAGTATCTCCTGCAGGTGCCCCAGGGGAAGTGCCAAGACTCGGGGATCGAGAGGAAAGCCTCGCTCCCTCGAGGAGGGGCTGCCGTGGCCCCCAGGACCCACGGGCTGGAGCCCTAACCCCCAGGGCCTCGGAAAGGGCAACCTGAGGTGATGCCGGTGAAATTAGGTCACACGGCTGGGGGTGGCCCAGCATGACTAGGGTCCTTATAAGAAGTGACCAGGACACACACACACACACACACACACACACACAGGGACGCCCGGGAGGACCGGGGAGGACAGGTGTCTGCAGGCCAAGGAGGGAGGCTCCGAAGGAACCGACGCTGCCCGCCTGGCGCTCGGGCTCCCGGGCCGGGGCTGAGAGAATAAACTCTGTCGTCGGAGCTGCCCAGTCTGCGGCTCTGTCGCGGCCGGAGCGAAGGGATACACCTGCTTTTGACGTTTCTAAACTGCATCCCGCGGCCCCGCTCCCACCGGCAGCAGAAGCAGAGGCGTCCCCTGGGCAGGTCCCCCTCCCTGGGCGGCGGGCGGCGGGGCCTCTGGGCCTCAGAAGTTTGTGCAAACACGAGATGAACACAACACGGAGCGGCCACGAAGCAGGAACGTGGGGGGACATTCCTGCCACAGCAAAGGCTTCTGGGACTTGAGTGGAGTTTTTAAAACTGCAAAACGCTCTTTACTAAGAAGTGCACTCCCAGGAGGTCCCACCAGGATGGCCGAGCTGCCGGGTGATGCCTGGAACCCCTAATTGTGCCGTCAGATGGAACGCGGGCGCCCCTCCCGGAGCTGAGGGGCCTGGGTTCCGGCGTTTTTCCTTTTCATCGTCTGATCCAGGTCGACAGCTGATGACTCAGCCGGGAGCCCAGAGAAGCGAGGCCTCAGAACCCTGCAGCTCATGGACACGGACACGGGCAGGAGGTCGGGGCGACAACCCCGGAAGGTGGGGGGAGCAGGGAGAGGGCGGGCTGGTGGGGAGCGCAGGGACGTCGCCGCGCGTCACTCTGCGTTCTTGTACTTGTTGAACAGGTTGTAGAGGACCCGCAGGGTGGACTTGAGGTCCAGGCTCACCACGTCTGCAGAGGAAGCAGGGAGGAGCGTTAGGGAGACGCACCTGGGGCCTGGCTGGCGCTGGGGCCTGGGCCTGGGCCTGGGCCTGGGCCTGGCGTGGCTGCAGCGGAGCACCACCCGGGCCGCTCTGGGCAGCGCATCCCAGACACAGGTCTCCCGCGAGCCCCCGGTCGCCACCTGTGCGATGAGCCCTGGGGTGGCCAGCACGGGTGCCCCTCCATCCCCTTGGGACTCGCATGGGGACTAGTGTGATGACCGGCGACGTCTGCGTGGAGTGGGGTCTACAGCAGCCGAGGACATTCGCTGGGGACCACACACCACGGGCTCACCAGTGCCAGGACCACGGGTGCCGGGGCCGGCCTCCTGGGGCGGGCAGGTGGCAGCTGCCATCCCCCCCCCCGAAGTTGGGCACATGGTGTGGCCTGCCCAGGACCCTGGGGCATGCCAGCTCCCTCTGGGGCCCAGCAAGTGCGGGCGCCTGCGGTGGTGGGAAGGGCACCCGGTCCTGGGACTCAAGCACCGGGTTCTGGTCCTCGCATACCCTGTGACCTCAGACAGGTGCCCTGGCCAGGGGGCGGGGGGGTGGGGGGGAGAGGGGGCTGTGGTTCATGGGTCACGGGATGGCTTTCCTGTCCCTGATGGGCATCGGGAGAGGAATGAACACATCCCGCCCAGAGCTCATGCTGGGCTGAGGACGGTGATTCTCAAAGTGGGTTCCCCGGACCGGGGGCATTGGCGTCACCTGGAAACTTGTTACAAATGGGACTTGTTGGGCCCATCCTTCAGCCCTGAATCAGGATCTGTCCTTGGAGAAGCCCTTCTGGGATTCAGACACCCCCTCGAGTCGGAGAACCCTGGAGTGGGCCACTGGACACAGCGGCCGGGAAGGGGTGGCGAGGGGGCCTCACCGGGCCCTGGCCTCAGCCCCTCATGGGGCGTGAACGCGCCGCCTCCCTGCTCACGAGCATCGCCGTTCGCTGGCCATGGGGACACCGCCCGACAGCCTCTCAGGCAGTGAAGCCAGCCTCTGCTGTCCTTTGGGCCATGACGCAATCCCAGCCCCAGCACCGGCCCCGAGACGCCATAAACCCCGAGGCCCGTGGCAGAGGCCACGGCTCCGGGTCACGTGGTTACTAAAGACTGGGCACTGGTGGCTCCCTCAGCGCAGCCCGCCTGGTCCCCAAAGCCGGGGGCACGGGTCACGGGGCATGGACACCCGGGGTCGGCACAGCCGGCCTGTGAGCCACCCGCTCAGAGTCTGCCCTCAGGGGGCCCCCAGCCACCTCGGGGCCTGGCCACCCTCCCTGCCACCCGCCTCCCCAGGGCACCGGGGGGCCTTACCTTCTGGCCGGGCCTTGGGCTTCTGGAGCCCCCCGTCCAGCATCAGCTCAAAGGCGAAGGACACGTTGTGGACCTGCAAGGGAGCGGGGTTAACGCCGGGGCCACGCTGCCCAGCCCGCCCGCTCCCCCCACGCTCCTCCGAAAGGACAGAGGGAGCCAGCGTGGACAGAGTGGTCTCTAATGACCAAGGCCCCAGGGCACCCGGCCCAGGGCACGGCGGGCAGACGTCTGTTGAGGCAGCACAGACTCACTTAGTGGTCCTTCCTCCCTCACCAGTGATCAGGGGCGGCTGGGAGACGCAGGGGTGAAGGCAGGGAGCCTGTCCCTGGGGGCTCGGGGTCCCTGTGTGTCTGCCCCAGGCCCTGGCACATCCACAGGATGAGAAGTGACAGTGGCCCCATTTTACAGATGAGGGAACCGAGGCTCAGAGGAGACAAGTCACTTCCCAGAGGTGCCGGGCCCTGGGCCCTGTCCCCAGCGCAGAGCAGCCCTTCACCTCCCCCCGCCCCCAGCCATCAGCTGACCACCATCCAGATCGGCTCATCGGCACACGCACAGCGGGCCGTGGGTCCAGGCGGAGACAGGATGGGGAGAGGGAGAGTCAGGTTAGGCACCAGCCTGACTTGGGAACCGAAAGCAGCCTTCCCCGCCAGCTCCCCTGCACAGGCGAAGGCGAACGGAACGGGAAGGAGCGGCCTCCTCCTCAGCCAGGGCAGCAAAGGTGTCGGAGGGGAAGGGGGCAGGGGGACGGCACCCAGCTGCTGGCACAGGGCCTCGCCCAGGCCGCCTGCTAGCCTCGCCATTCTCCCCAGCGGTCTCATTCCTCTGAACCAAGAAAAACTCTCTCCCCAGCAATGCTTCTGCCACCAGCCAAGCCGGGCCCGCAGGGCACGAGCCTCGTCTCCAGCGGGGCCCTCGTGGCCGGGACGTCACACGGCACCGTTTCCTGCCGGTTCCGCAGCTCGGTTGGGTCCCCTGCTCTCTCCCTCACACTCCCATTCACGTGGACTCACTGCTCCATCTCGGCGCGGGGCCGGATGGGTCCCCTGCCCTCTCCCTCACACTCCCATTCACGTGGACTCACTGCTCCATCTCGGCGCGGGGCCGGATGGGTGCATGGCCGCGCCAGCAGCCCACCAGGTGCGGCGGGCAGACTGACACGCACTGGCTCGACTTCGAGGGTTCCCCTGGCTGCCCGCCTCTCTGACTCGTGGGCCTAGCACTTTGGGGAAATGACATGACAGATGCCCATGCGTCCAAAGCAGTATGGTCAGTCCATTTGCCAAGTTTCCAAGGCGACTAAATGCTGCGGCGGCCGGACTTCAGGAGGCCCAGGCGGAGGCGAACGGCCCGGCCCCCCAGCGCGCAGCACGGATGGAGAGCCAGCAACCCAACGTCAAGGCTAGGCCCTTGAACCAAACAATCCTATTCGGGGAATTTTGCTAGACACGATCCACAGGAATGAAAATACATATATAGCTGTATATATACTCAAAGAAGATGCCTTGTTTTCATAGGAATAAAACAGGACTGTGTTGGTTGGGCAAGAGCGGGGGACAGGAGGCCGCAGCCCCATGGCCACGCCACGGGCTCGGCACCTGGGAGCTGGGGGAGCAGCAGGGGACCCAGCCGTGACGCCCGCGTGGCAGGTACAGGGGACGGGCGGGCAACTGCACCAACACTGACCACGATTACTAAGGACGACCTAGTCCGGCGGGAAATACCCGGGAGAGAACAAGGCACCGGCCCCGCGTCGGGTTTCCTTCTTTCACGTGGGCCCCGTGGAACCGCGAGGCCACCTGTGGTGCAGCTTCATGTCTGCAGAGCGCCCGGCCCCAGAGAGGGCTGCGGGGCCCCTAACCGTGTGGCGGAGACACGCGTACCTTCTGGTCGAAGCTGTCTGGGGTCAGGTAGAAGTTGTGCAGGGGCACGAAGTAGTCCTCCAGCAGGCCCATGAGCAGAACCAGGTACACGCCGTCTGCGAACTGCAGGAAACACGTGGTGACGCTGTGGCTCGCGCACGGAGCGGCACGGCTACATGTCCACTCAAGAGGAGGAACCGGGCCTGGCCGGTGTGGCTCAGTGGGTCAGCACTGACCCATGAACCAGGAGGTCAGGGTTCAATTCCCGGTCAGGGCACATGCCCGGGCTGCGGGCTGGATCCGCAGTGTGGGGCGTGCAGGAGGCAGCTGATCAATGATTCTCTCTCATCATGGATGTTTCTCTCTCTCTCTCTCCCTCTCCCTTCCTCTCTGAAATCAATAGAAATATATTGAAAGGGAAAAAAACATTACAAACAGCTGTGCAGTGTGATCCAGTGCCATCTAGGAAATACATTTATGGACATAAAATACCTAGAAAAATGTCCATCGCACCGTGAACTACAGTGACCCCTGGAGAGGACGATGGAGGGACAGAGGGGAGGGAGGAGGGAGGGTTTCTGCTTGTCAGTTCGTATACTTCTGCACCGTTAACCTATCAGACAGCAGGTAAGCGGCAGCTGTGTGTGCACAATAGCAAGGCGCTGAAATAATCAACGCATTCGCACACAATCCACACGCAAACCGGCGCTCGCTTCCCCACACAGACCCGCTGCCCGCGAGGATGGCCCGCGAGGAGGGAGGTCTGGAAGGAGCCCTGGCACAGATGGCATTGCAGGGATTTTCTTTGTTCTGCTTATCTGCCGTCTCAGACTTCCCGACAATGAACCTGAATTACTTTTTTAATTAGAAAAGCAAATGAGAAACTAGCGAGAGCGGAGTGAATGCAATCAGCCGGCTTCAGCGGATCAGCTGCGTGAGGAGCCGGAGCCAGGCCTCGCGGCTCCAGACTCCGGCCGCTAATCCCGGGGAAATGATATTTTGTCTTGACGCCCGCCGACCGCTGGGAACTCATCCCACAGTGCTATTTGCGTTTTGAGTGGGAGTGGGGGGGGGACCCTTGACCAATTCAGAGGCGAGCGATGCGGCCCCCCTCACAGCCTAAAGCCCCCGTGTTCTATGCTGTGTTCTGACATCAAGGAAGCCAGTCCAGAGATGTCATTCAGTCGGCCCCGCGGAAGAGAAGACGCACGTAGGGTCTGCACCGTGTGCAGCGGTGCGGTGCGTGCACGTTGCCTGTTTGCAAGATGAGTCCTCTCTGTACCGGTATCCATGTTGCCTTATCGGATACAAAACCCTGCAGATGTCACACGCATCACTAACATGAGACATCAAACGTGAAAAGAGCCCTGGCCTGTGGCTCAGTGTTCAGAGCAACAGCCCAGGCACCGAAGGGTCTTGGGTTCAATTCCCAGTGAAGAGCAGGCACCTGGGTTGCAGGTTCGACCCCAGGCCCCGGCCAGGGTGTGCGCAGGAGGCAACCAATCAATGTGTCTCTCCCACATCAACGTTTCTCTCTCTGTGTCTCTCCCTCTCCCTTCCACTATCTCTAAAAAAACCAATGGAAAACTATCCTCAGGTGAGGATTAATAACAACTATATATATATATATATATATATATATACTGTCGACCCAGAACACGGCTTGGGTCAGTATTAAAAAATGTTTGCAGGGGTCACCAGCCCTGCCTCTGCTGGGACTTTCGCCTCCGGAACTGGGAGAGGCTAGATGTCTATTGTCTAAACCAGCGGTCGCCAACCTTTCCGACCTCACGGACCAGCAGGGGTCCGCGGACCACCGGTTGGCGACCGATGGTCTAAGCCACTCAGTTTGTGAGCTTTGCTCTAACGGCCCCAGGAAAGAAAGGCGGAGGGTCTGCGAAGGCAGGGGTGGCGTTCCTGCCGGACGAGAGCGATGGCATCTGGTTTGCTCACGGGGCCCCCTGGGATGGGAGCCCTCCCACCCAGAACACACTCACCTGGGTCTCCAGTTCTGTCACCTCCAAATTCAGCTTGTTCAGGTGCTTGTTCACGAAGGTGATGAGAGACTGCGGAGGCAAAGGGACAGCGGCTGAGACCAGCTCCCCCCGGGAAAGGGACAGGGGCTGAGGCCAGCTCCCTCCAGGAAAGGGACAGGGCCTGAGACCAGCTCCCCCCAAGACAAAGGGACAGGGCCTGAGACCAGCTCCCCCCGAGACAAAAGGACAGGGCCTGAGACCAGCTCCCCCTGAGACAAAGGGACAGGGGCTGAGACCAGCTCCCCCCACGGCAAAGGGACAGGGCCTGAGACCAGCTCCCCTGAGACAAAGGGACAGGGCCTGAGACCAGCTCCCGCCCGGGTCGATGGGACGCGTCCAGCCCTGGCTTTGGGAAACGCTTCCCGAATCACCTCTATTTACTGAAATAAAAAGCTGGTGTTTAGAACGAAATGTTCTTACAATAACCCCTGGTTTTAATGAGGCTGCGCCCCAAACTCTCCCGGCTGAAGAAGGAACTGCATCCCTGATCACGGAGCCACGTGCACGCACCCACCCAGGCCCCACAGGACCCCTGGCAGGGAGGTCACTGGACTTTTAAATGTGCCCTGGGCGCCACCTGGGCCATGAAAGATGGAAAACAGGCTGCCTAGGCCGCAGCCTCCCAGTTTCAGTAAACAGGTCCGCGGGCGTGGTCCCGGGAGGCCGGCGCTTGTACACCTGTCACCTGTGAACTTCCTCAGCCTTGACACCCAGCTTTCCTGGACACGCAACCCCGCCCCCGCCCACCCTACTCCTGGACGCGAGGTCCTTTCCACAATCCTTCTGCTCGGTTTTACGGAGCAGCCACCACGTGCCACCCTCTGCTGGGTGCTGGGGACACGGGCCAGCAGGCCAGAGCCCACCCAGAGACCTGTGACATGATCCTCCGTGCACACATTCAGCGACGAGTACAGAGAAATCAAGAGACACGGCCAAGGAGGGGAAGGAGACGGGAGGCTGGTGAGGGGCTCACGGAGAGGCGCATGCCTCCCGCCCTGGAGGTGGGGGCACAGAGGGGCTTTGCGCTGGGCCGGGGGGTGGGGGTTGGGGGCGTTCAGGAGGGGAGGGGTGGGCAGAGCAGGCTCGGCCACCAAGATGAGTGCGAACCTTCGGGACCTTCAGGCCGCGGCCGGATGTGGGTGGATGGGACAGAGGAGGAGGGGTGACTGGAAAGACCTGGACAGGTGGGCAGGGTCCCCTGCAGTTAAGTCTGGGGTACAGGGAGCCCCTCACAGCAGCTCAGTGTGGGGGCTGGAAGCGGGAAGCTGTTGGGCGATGAAAGGATTTTGTCTTGTTCGGTGCTAAGCAGCCAGTGCCCAAGACGTCCTCTCGCAGAACGAGTTAGGATCGTTTCTCCTGGAAGACGGGAGCTAAGCTGACCCAGGCCGCAGCCGGTCAGCGCTACCTAGTGATCGAGTGCCGCGTGCCGGACCCTGGCCAGACATGGCACACTTTACCCTCACGGCACCCCTGCGAGGTGGCGGCTGCCTCTGTCCTAGACGACAGATGGGGAAACTGAGGCAGGGCACATAATCTGGCTCAGCTCACACAGCTGATGAGTGGGGAGCCAGATTTAAATCGTCCACCGAGCCCTAACCGGTTTGGCTCAGTGGATAGAGCATCAGCCTGCGGACTCAAGGGTCCCAGGTTCGATTCCGGTCAAGGGCATGTACCTTGGTTGCGGGCACATCCCCAGTAGGGAGTGTGCAGGAGGCAACTGATCGATGTTTCTTTCTCATCGATGTTTCTAACTCTCTATCCCTCTCCCTTCCTCTCTGTAAAAAATCAATAAAATAAAATCAAATAAATCGTCCACCGAACCAGCCCTGGCAGGGCCCTGGGACCAGGTGTGGCCAGCGCAGGGGTGGGGCACTGCCCGGAGGCCCGAGGTCTGTCCCTCATGACGCAAGGATGGCAAGAAGGCTCCACCCCGGAGGGCCAGCGGGATGATCCGCAGCCTTCTGCAAAGCGTGTCCCAGAACTACCTGCAGCTCCCACTGCCCCACCTGGACCAGCACCTTCCAAAGGCGGTTCCACAGGCTGTGATGTGTCCTACCCCGAATACATAGATCATGCATCTCACTGCTGACAAACAAGCTTGGAAAACGCTTCCTGTCACACTCTCTCGGAGAATTCCAGGCATGGCAGCATCGTAAAGGCTCTGACAAGTCCTGCATTAAGAAAGCGGTTTGGGCCTGGCCAGGTGGCTCAGTTAGCTGGAGCGTCGTCCCGTGAACCAAAGATTGTGGTAGATTCCCAGTCAGGGCACACGCCTGGTTATGGGTTCCATCACCAGTGGGGGTGCATATGGAGGGTTGCCGATCAATGTTTCTCTCTCTCAAATCAGTGCTTCTCCCTCTCTCTCTCTCCCCCTCCCCACTCTCTCAAACCCATAAAGCACATTTAAAATAAAAAAGAAAGAACCGTGTTTGGGGAAACTGTCCTAGACAAAGCTCTGTCCTGAGTCACTGGCAGACATCACGGCCCAGACTCGACGGACGCCAGAAGCTGTGTGCAGCGAGACGTCCGCAGGGTCAGTGAGCACGAGCCCGGGGGCGAGACCGCCATTCCTCCTGGGAGACAGGCCTTCCTGGGCAGGACGACCCCCCACCCCCCCGAA